GGCACCCAGTGTGCATTTAACACTGAGGCGGGGGCACTCTCCGTGAGTTCCCTACAAGGGTTAACTGACAAAGGAGCCAGCAGCATTCTGCTGTCTCCGGGGGGGGGCATAGCCCAGAGCTGAAGGGCAGAGTTTGGGGCGAGGGCCCTTGAATGAAGGGTGGCTGGAGAATCGGGCGCTTGTGCTGGTTCTGCAGAAGGCCCCAGTCTCCTTGCCCCGAGCCTGGTACAGGGAGGGCTCTGTCGCACTGCGGGAAAACAACCTTCTACTGCTACAACATACCTAGAGTTTCCAGCTAGACTTATAAATAAATAGCATGCAGCCCCTCGGGGCTCTAGCCACACTAGTCACAGGGGTGAGGGGACTCACAGAGGCAGGGCGGGAAGAAGAATCAAAACTATCCAGTGTTGGTTAAGGATGGTGCTTCTCCGGGGGGGGGGGGTTACCCAGCTCTGCCTGGGCCCTCTACTGCATGCGAGGGGAGGGGGAGCAGCCGGCATCTTTTGATGAGCCTCCAGCCCCACACTACTGTCAGCCGGGGTCCAGCCAAGCGGTGGCTGGGCCAGCGTTGTCTTGCCAGGGAGCTGGGTTCCGCCTCTTCCTGCCCAAGGCAGCGTGAGGAGGCCAGGGCCTGGCCCAGCCTGCCAGGGCTTTGGGGAGGAGGGGGCCTTGGTCTGGCCCAGAGCTGCGGCCTGCAGCGGGGGCTGGTCTGTGCCATCGGAGCTGGCGGAGACACTCAGTGCAAACTCAGGTGAAGGTGACAAGCTAGCACTGTCTGTCCCTGTAGTGTGGGGGGAATCCATTGGCCCTGGCTCTATTCCCAGCTGAGCCTCGCTGCCCAGCCACACATGTAACAGCACCAGGCGCCGACTCCCCATGTCCGACCCAAGAGGGAGGGGCAGACACTGCCCCTTGGAGACAGTGGGACCAGCCCAGCCCTCCCACTCAGTCTCAAAGCCACACTCCCCTGCTGCAGGGAGGTGTAGCACTGCGCTCTAAGGAAGGCATCGGCCAAGCTGTGTCTGGCTGTGGGGCTAAGGTCTCAGGCAAGGGGTGCAGCAAAAACCAAAGAAGCCACAGCCGGGGGCTGGCAAAGAGATCCCAGCCGGCCCTGCAAAAGGCAGGGAATTGCCCTGCAGAGATCACCTGGGCGGGGGATGGGTCCTCTGCAGCAGGCCGATCCCCTTATGACAGCGCAGCAGCTCAGCGGAGGAGGATGGGACTCCAGCTCGGCCGCTCTCGCCATTCCAAGGAGGCGGCTGGTCTCTACTGCCCCAGGGAGGTTAGGGTCGGGCAGCTGGGGGTGAGCCATGGACATGGAGGTCAGAGGCTTTGAAAGATGCTTTTGCAGGGGGCTGAGGAGCTGGTCCAAGGCTCAGAAATGTTCCTGCAAAGCCCTTAGGTAGGGCAAGAGGAAGCGGGAGCAGGTGCCACCTGCTGAAAGGCTACAGCCTGGCTATTAAAATTCTACTTATTCGAAGGATAAAAATGCCAAATTTCCTGCTACGCACCAGCACGCTGGTACCTGTTAGATCCCCCCAGTCACATGAACATCTTCAGGGCAGTTAACCCCGTGAGAGGCTGTACATTCTCCTTTTGGATTAATACAGATCAGAGACAAAGCCCCCTGCCCACCCCTTAAAGGAACGTAACTAACTTCCTAGATGATGGGGCCCTGGCATTTGGCTCTGGCTCCGCGGTCTCTAAGCTGCGCAGGTCCCGTCCTCTCCTTGTCGGGTCAGCGCAGCTGCAGCTAGGTGAGTTTCCACAAGGGTAAATACAGCCCTGGAGTTTGTTCCTGGCCAGGCTGCCATGACCGGTCTCAGCAGGGCAACACGCTTCTCCGTGTTTGGCTACGTACCAGGAACAGAGCCAGGGAACTGGTCGGAGCAGGGCACCAACGACAGGTTAGCAGCGGCATGCTCCTAGCCGTGCCCAGCGCTCAGCGTGGCTGCCTGGCTCTGGCACGGCTGAGCCCGGGCTCTCGCAGCACGAGAACGGTCTCGCGGGGCTCCCCACCCCACGCCACTCCCACCCGCCGCTTGCCAAAGGCTTCATATCAAGGATGGAGCCGTGCAGCTGCCGTTTCATCCGCTCGGCGCTTTGGTAACACGGCAGTGGGAAGGGGGGCAGATGCAGGTGTCGCTTTCCTTCCGAGCAGTGAAGGGAGATGGATTCTCAGGGCTAAGGTACAAGCAACTGGGGAGGGGAAAGGGTGGGGGGGTGGACGGTCTATAAGAAGGCACTGGGATTTGCTCTAGGGTCTTTCTGGTTTCTGTAGCGCATGGCTAGCAAGACTCCGAGGATCTAGGAGAACAGAGAGAGAGAAGGGGGGGGATTAGGTGCGATGGGGGCTCCCCGTGTCATAGGCTGCAGCTCCCACGGGTGGTGCTGGTCCCTCCCCGTTGAGTCACACGGCGCTCCTGGGGCCCATTGTGTAAGGCTTTGCTGAGAGATGACCTGGAGTCGTCCCCCGCTCCCCCGCGCCCGCCCCGGCTGGAGGAATTACCTCCGTGAAGCTGAAGAAAAGTCCGACTCCCCCGAGGATTTTCAGGGCCTCGTCCGAATGCTTCAGCATCTTCTCCCCGCACTTGGGACAGCTGGGCCCGTGGCCCGTGGTCGTGTTGTCCTTACACATCTGGAGAGGGTGATAAAACCCCACAGTGACACTCCCCTCGCGGGCAGGGCGGAACCGTCCCTCCGGTAGAGCACCGTGACCCCAGCCAGGAAAGCATGGTACGGGCAAGGGGGCTGGGCGTGAACAGGATTCCCTCTCCTGACGGAGACATTGCCTGATCCTCCGCCGGCCAGACCGCGTACAGACTCGTGCCCAGCCGGGACTTCTCCCTGCTGGGAGGAGTCAGGGTTACAGCCCTGGAGCCCGAATGCCTCACCAGCCGCCCCGGGAACCAGGCCGGAGATCTCCCAGCTGGTTTCTCCTGGGGGTGAACAACCGGGCACCCCCGGAGAGCCGGGAAAGCCCAGAGGCAGAAGTGCTGGGGTAAGGCACTGCCCCACCCTGGGACTCACAGCTGTGCAGAGGTTGTAGTCCATCTGGAACGTCCTGATGGCGACAGGGTCATTGGTGTTGTTTAGCAGCCCGCAGCAGTTCAGATTCACCTCGATCTCGTTGCGGGTCTTGTTGCTCAGGATGTCCCAGGTGGCGCGGAAGAGACTCTCCTGTGGGCAGACCCCCCTGGGTTACCCCATGAACAGCACAGCCAGCAAGTGCCCTCTGGGCCAGGGCCACAGCTGCACCCGCCGCAGCAACTGACCAGCCTGCAATGCTGCTCTGCAGCCACTAGAGGACGCTGTTCCCCATAGCCAGAGGTTTTCCCCTTTGTCCCTCCTTCGGTGTATAGGGGCAGGAGACCGGCTTTACATGCATAGCGGGGGAGAAGCGCTAGAAGAGGGACCCCTAGGAGGGGAGCCGGCCCACCTGGCAGACAGAGATGGGGGAAGGAGCCCCCCCACAAGAAGACAATAATGGGCACAGCCAGAGTCAATGATGGGGCAGAGGGCAGGGCCTGATGTGATCAGTGGGGCTACACACATCCCCGCATTGTCAGCTCAACGGCAGGAAGGGAACGCAAATTCTCAAGATGTCATGGTAACCGGCGACAACAAACAGGAACGGTGCGACGGAGCCAAAAAGGCCCATTGCTCTAACTCAAGGGCTGGGTTGCGATCAGGCCTGGTAAAGCCTCGGACCAGACATCAGGGAACCCCAAATCGGTGTGCTGGAACGGCTGATTGATGGACACAGCAAGGAGGGGATGGGCCGTTCCGCCCTGCCCACCACTCCCTCGTGGGGGGGGGGGGAGGTCTGTAAAGAAAGAGACTGGGGAGAAAAAATCAGCTACTGGAGCAAGCGTCACCATCACAGCTACCACCACACTAGCTCCTGGAATCTCAGCGCTCCATCAGCCTGATCCTCAGAGATGCCCCCGC